AAAATAAAAATAAAATAAAAATAAAGGTATTAAATAATATCTTTAAAAAAATAAATAATTGAATCTAAATGCATCAAATCTATTAAATTTAAAAGTTAAGGGTATTAATTTTTTAAAAGTTATATAAATAAACAAATAAATTACCATTAAATTCTTAATTTAAAACCAAAAAAAAAATAATAATAACAACTGTTATATTTAGATAGAATGAATAATTGATTACTGTTCTTTAAGAAAGCCTCATTTGAAAAGTAATCACTAATCAGCATATTCAGAAAATAATTGACAGTTTTGAGGAGGATAATTAAATATGCATTTTACAAAGTCAGACAAATACCAACAAACTCTATTTTGCTGTAGTCCTTTGATTTCTGTCCATTTCACCAAAGATGAAATTTGGTTATAAAATTTATACTATGAACATTAAAGAACTACACTCATACTCAATATAACAAATCATAAAATACAGTAAATTGAACGAAAATCAGTTATAAACTTTTTTTTTTTTTTTGGTACATTGGGCAATGCTTACAACATTGGATTATCTAGTGGCACGTGGCTTACAAACTCCTAAATTATATATCTTATTGAAGAAGAGATCGAACCACATTAAGGGGTTGTTCAAAATAAAGGAAACGTCCCCCTAGATGATAAAACTGAGATGCCATTGCATCTGCATAAAAGTTTTGCTTTAGAAACACATGTCAAATCACACATGTCCAATCTCTTTCCATGAGAGACTTGCACCTTTGAACCCAATAAGTCAATGATGTAATTGCTACGAAGCTACTTTGCAATTTTTGAACAGCTAAAAGAGAATCTGTCTCCACAATAACTTGTCGAAACCCCATGTTCCAAGCTAGCTCCATGCCTTTCCATAATGCAAAAAGTTCTGCACAAATGGCATGGCCATCACCTAGCTATTAATTGAAGCCAAACAACCAATTTCCTGATGTGTTATAGCAACAGCCTCCAGTCGCTAACACTACTGCAGGAATCGGATATTCAGACCAAAATTTTGGTCCAGATATATTAAAAATCGGTTCGAATATATATATATCCGGACCAATATTGGTCCCTATAGTTGATCTGAAAAAACCTGGTACGAAAAAATATAATATACAGACCGACACAAAATTGGTTCGTATATATATAATATACGGACCGAAATCGGTCCGGATATTTCACTAAAAAATATAAATAGTTATTTAAAAATTGAAATAAGCGGACTGAAATTGGTCCGAAAAAAATAATAAAATATATACGGATTGAAAACGGTCTGAAAATGTGGCGGGAAGAGGCATATCAAATATATTTGGACCAGGATTGGTCCGAATATGGAGGACCTAGCAGCAACTTTTAAAGCTTGCGGCCTCAATCTGTCCGCTTCGGAAACTATGTACAGACCGTTTTCGGTTTGAAAAGTTTGGACTTATTTGTAACTTTCAAAAGTTCTTCGCCTAACTGGTGACATTCTCAAACTATATCCAGATCGTTTTCGGTCCAAATATGTTGGACTTTCTTGTAACTTTTAAAAATTACTGTCCCAACCGACTCCATTATGAAAATATATCCACACCGGTTTCGGTCTAAATATATTGGACTTACTTGTAACTTTTAAAAGTTCCTCCCCCAACCGACACCATTCTCAAACTATATACAGACTGTTTTCGGTCTGAATATATTGGACTTGCTTGTAACTTTTAAAAGTTCCATTTCCAACCGTGCCATTCTCAAACTATATCCAGACCGTTTTCGATCTGAATATGTTGGACTTGCTTGTAACTTTTAAAAGTTTCTCTCCGAACTAGCGCCATTCTCAAATTATATCCAGACCATTTTCGGTCCGTAAATATCTTTAAAGAAAAAAAAATAAAAACAATAAAAAATAAAGAAAACAGATTTATTTTATTTAATAATTACACAATATTATCAAATAATGCAAAAATAAATTTTACAATTCAAAATAAATGCATTTATAAAAAAA